CAGTATTCCGGGAAAATACATGATTGAATACAGAATGATCGACTTTGAAATTGTACTGTCTACGATCCAAAGTTATTGAACATTACTCACGGATCGACAATGCAAAGAGCGGCAAAAAATCGTATCATCTGATTTTTGAGAGAGTGGCTTATATTAAAATATTTTTTCTATCATAAATTAAATCATATCATAAGCTACACTTTGTAAGTTTTTGCCGCGAATTCTTCGAATACTTTTTTCCTTATTCCAAAAAGTTAATACGAATTTCGCGAATTCCATACGTATTCTACAGACTTTTAGTGAATTATGTGTGCTAAAACTAAATTATAAGGTTTTTTTAATAAATTTTGAGTATATTTTTGATTTTATATTTATATACTTAATTCAATATTTAATTTTGATAGAATAAAACATATAAAGTGAGGATTTTAAATGGCGAGTTGTATTTTATATCGTGGATGGTACATACAAAAGGAAGATTATAACATTGGTAGTTTTATTGATCCATTTTGTAGAAATCAAGGTAGAAAGAAAATACATGATATGAAGGTATTCAAATTTTTTTAAATGAGTTTTTTCTTTTAATTTTTAAAATAATCATTTATTATATAATTTTTATAATAGGTATTACAGGAACTTATTAAAAAAAGGTTGATTGGTTTCTGGATGAATCAGTATATGAAATGGCTCAAAGAATTGGTAAAATTGTATCTGTACCAACTTTGTGGAGGTCTTTGAATTTTTGTGGGATTACCAGAAAAAAGGTAAGCAATATTTTTTAATTTATAATTTGAATCATTTAATAAAATATATATAATTAAAGGGTGTTTATAATTATAGTTACAGAAAGCTGCTAGAGATTATTGAGAAGTGTATTTATATTAAAAACAAATGAATTTAGTTCTGAAGAAAAAGTAAATGTATGAGAAGTAGGTAAAGCAGTACAAAACAGTTTGATGAATTTAAAATGATAATTTCTCTGTTTCAGGAATTGGTAAATCGTTAAATATAATAGAAGGTGATGTTGTATAGAAGGAGCTGTTGATGATACTGTATAAGATACAGTAGAAGTGGAGATAATTCTTGATTAATATTATTTTTGGATTTTAATTTGTATTTCGCGATAAGCTTTACAACATAATGAATAATAATATATCTATTTTATATCCATACTTTCTTACTATTTCGTAAAAACTTCATTAATATTATCATCTAAACTATTAATACATCTTCTAAAAAAAATAACTTTACTGTATTTGTTCTATTCTATTCTTTTTATCATGTTTTATTGATATATCACCAGTTTACAAGTATTTACTGTTAAAATTTTAGCACAATACTGTACATACATTTCATATAAAAAAACATAAATTTTAGAGATACTATGTGATTTTATTGTCAAGGTAACGAAAATGTTATGGTAATGATAAAGTAACAAGAATTGATCATCACATGATCATCGCAAAAAATCCAAAGATTTTGACGTTCCGTTAAAAATTTCGTGTATTGGTAAATTCAGGAACATTACAGATCGTACATATTTCTACAGTGAAGCGGAACGCAAACTTATGAATGCTGATGGTAAGCCTATTTTCTCTGCACCTAATAATTTTGCATTTTTTTTATAATTTCGTTGTTTTAAAATTAACTAGATAATGAAGAAGATGTTAATTTACATCTGCGAACTTAAGCCCCTTGTTAATATCAAGGTTGTTCTATGAATGATTTAATTAAACTCAATATAATCGTAATGCCTAACTGATATAAATTAGTATTATAATAGGTGCAAAATATTCAATATAGGCGAAGATTGACATGGCAGTTATAAATGAATGACGTCTCTCATTCTCATATTTTTTTATGGCCAGGGAATTTCAATGATTTAAAATACTTATTAATCCGCTGATTAATGTTGAAAACTTTTACACCAATTCATTAGTAAAATTACTCATTGTGAAGTTTATAGATTATTTCATATTATTATTATTACTAACATAAAAAAATAAAATAATTAGAGAAATCTCCGATTTTTAATAATAAATTGGTGGCACAACTGATTGGTTTCTTGGTAGTTATTCAGTCTTATGTTCACTGACTGAGTTCATCAAATTTCCAAGATATGCGACAAAGAAGTGAATTGTCAGCTATTTGTTCAAAAGAAATGTATTCCCACTGAATCCGGAATAAAATATCCTTATTTCAAAATGTTAATATACTCCCCGACTTAACAAAAATCCAATTTCAACAACCTTCAAGTATTCACAACGTAATGCAAGCACTTAGGCGTTCGAAAGGTAAAAGAATATAATTGATATTATTAGAAATTATGCAGATTCTCAAATTTTATGATCACATAAAAGATCTAATAAATCATATGATATTTCTTTACAGATCAATTGTTTAATGGCCTCGCAACTGGGAAGCTTTAATTGGACGATTCTTTCTGGTCACAATTTTATTCCAATAAAAGATAAAGCTCGATATGTTGGAATTATTCGTAATTGTCCTCAAGAAGAATGGCATATGATTTGTTTGTTTATAAATAAATATATTTATTTACTAAATGGTTTAAGGTTAATATTTTAATTTTTTTAATTTTTTTACATTTATTGATTTTTCAATAAATTACTGGAAAGTTGTGGTGTAAAAATCATCGAATTATTAGTTAAATCATCACGTGAAATTTGGAATTCCGTTATATAGTAGTCAATAAATCAGATTTGGCTGAAAAGATGAAGAAAACATTATTTTGGCGGCTTCAAAGCATGATGGTAACCGTCGCAGTGAATGATTCATCGAAGAAATATATATATTTTTTTATTTTTTTTGAAGTTCTTGTTGATAGTGAAAAATAAATTTTTAAATTTCCTAAATATGAAAGATATGGCGCAGTTATCAATTGTTTATATTTAGATAGATTTTAAGCCTTAAAATTTCCAAGCCATTAAATAAATAGCGGGATTTGATTGCTTACTCTGTTCATGTGATCGTACTTCGACAAACAAACGAACAAATTCTCGCGTTATTCATTTGGCTTTTATACAGTTTATCGATGTTAATTTTATCAAGGAAAATGTAAAATATGAATAGTCGTTGATTTTGACTCCTCATCGAGCACTTCTTTATTTTTAATTCAGTTCAAATTTTATTATCAGTTGATATTCTAGATCTCGAAAACTTCATATTCAATCAATGTCTTTTTATCTTAAAAACATAATAATTTAAAATATTATATATAACTTTAAAATTTTTCATAAAAACTTAAATTGCTATTTAGAGAAAACTTATGTAATAATACTACGTAGATAATTAAATCAAATTGCTGGCTCATGTGGAACTGATTCTGCTCGATAATTTATCCGGTGTCCCGTGATTATGAAAATCATTTTTTAAACTTTTTATTTTTTCAAACGCTTCTTTCAATGAAAAATGTAGTATTCTTACATTTTTATGTTACAGTATAAATCATTATTAGCAATTAAAATTTATATCTTGTGTAATTTAGGAAATTTCTTAAAGTAACAAAGAAAAAAAAGAAAGGAAAGAAGATAAAAAAGAATCATTATTGTTTTATTTTATAATTAATTTGGTTTATTTAAATTTTAATAATAAAATAAAAAAATATTAACCCTCTCCACACCACCTTCTTATTCCTCGTCTTCTTCCTCTAAAACGAAAAAAAAAATATACAATTAGAAATATTAAAAAATTATGATAAATTTTTAAAGGTTGCTTACCATCGAAAATTCCTAAAATCTCTTCGAGCAGCTCTATTTCTTCTCTCATAGAAGCTGCATCGACAGAGCTCTCCCGGTCTCTGCGAGCATCCTCCATCATGACATCTTCATATGATGGAGGATCTTCCTGTGGTTGTGGTTGTGGTTGTGGTCGTGGTCGTGGTTGTGGTCGTGGTCGTGGTCGTGGTCGTGGTCGTGGTTGTGGTCGTCGTTGTTGCGGTTGCGGTTGTGGTTGTTGTGGTTGTGGTTGTTGTGGTTGTTGTTGTTGTTGTTGTTGTTGTTGCTGCTGTTGTTGTTGTCTGCGTCTTTGGTGAACAACGCTGCGTTTATAAAAGTGAATATTTCTTTTTTTTCCCATGATTTTTTTGATTTTTTGTAAAGGTAAAGTAAAGGAATAAAAATCACGAAGTTGCTTTGTAATTAAAAAAAATATAAACCTTTATATATCAAATTCAATATTTATGGGATTCGTTATAAACTCATTTGGTAAATACTATTTTTAAATTTCATGTATCTTCAATCGGGAATTGAATTTTATGCTTATGATCACATTTCACAATACTGTCTATTAAATGAACCGCAGTTTTATTTTTATATTAATTTTTTTTTAATCCTGATATTGTTTCTTGAAATTTATTTACTTTAAAAGATATAGCATTTTCATAGGATTTTATAATATTGAACTCTGAATAATTCTGAATTCATTTTATTAATACAATGCTTGTCATTAATTTTTTAATATATATATTTTTTAAAATACAGTATCGTATCGGAAAAACGTGATTCTAAAACATCATGATCGGCACCGATTTCCGGTTTAGATATCGCTTGGAAAATATTCTTTATCAAAACAGTTGATTTTTCACGTACAATAACGGATTTTTGATAGCCTACTCTTATAACATAGGGACATAACTTATTAACAACGTAAAATCCTTGACGTGACCTTCAGCAAATAGATCTCTTTTAGATCAGAACCTAACGTACATAAAAAATTATAAATATTATCAATGTAATTTGTCATCAATACAATAAAACATTCTTCTACTCTATGATTTTTAAAATTTTAAACGTGTCAAAATGTCGAATATATTAATATTATTCACACGAATTACATATCTCTTTTTTTTTTGACTCATGATTAGTTTTCAAAGGTCGCTGTTTTCAGACAATTTGACACGTTTAGACTCATATTTTTCCCTCATGATGTAATATATAAGTATTCTGAGACTAAACCCCGTTTCCTAGCATATCCGTCAAAAATCGACTTACCAGAAAAAAAAATTTTTTTAAAAAAGTTTTTTCAAAACAAAAATCATTTTTATTTCTTAAAAATATTAACTAAAAACATTATTACGCAAGATTATATCTAGCTGCTACCATAGGTTGCTTCGACAGCAACAATAACAACAATAAAAGCAGCGATAGCTTTCATCTATCGAGGAAATATTTTTTTTGGATATAATTGTCGAAGAGTGAGCTGAGCTTCTAGAATCAATTGCTGTATTATAAAGTTTTTTTTTCAAATATACATATATCATTTATTAGTTTTGGTTACGGTACGTTTAACCAAAACCCAATTGACCGAAACCCATTTGGCCGAGTCCAATTGGCCGAATGGACGTTTGCCCGAAGGTCCACCTTACCGAATGACCCGTTCATCGAAGGTCCACATTACCGAATGTCCAGTTCACCGAAGGTCCACTTTATCGAATGTCCAGTTATCCGAAGGTCTACTTTACCGAATAACCCGTTCATCAAAGGTCCACCTTACCGAATGTCTAGTTTACTAAATTGACATTTTACCAATTCTGTTTTACCGAGAACATTTTACCGAAAATTTAATGATTTACCATTAAATTAAAATTTATAATTTTTTTTAAAAAATAATACAAAGATCTGATATCATCAATTATGAAAACAATAGGATAA